TCCGTGGCAGTGGCCATGTGAAAGTATTTCGAGAGGGAGAGCGAACTCACCCCACCCTCTGCCTAACCAGGACATTTGGAGGCATATTTTTAATTAACTTTTAATGAAGAGAATAAGTGACTTAAAAGATCACTGGCCGATAATTATCACGAAATCCCTCACACACACTTTAAACCTAATACTAAAATTACTTTATTACTCATGGTTATTCTTTCATTAAATTTTAGTTTTTCACTTTGTTGAGTTTCTTTTAAAAGATTATAAAACTGAAAATATCTAATATACATTACTTTAGGTTATTTGATCTTTCAGAGTGATTAAATTCCTAGACATTAATTCATACACTCACTGATGTTATAAAAAAGTCAAAGTATTATTGTTATTTTTCCAAATACCTTATATTCAAGTTTGATTATACTTGTTATGCTTTCTTGAATTTATTGTATAAAACAAGATATCTAATTTTAAATACTCTTCTTATTGAATTCTTATGAATACATAATTTGGTGATGAATGATGAAATATATGTTAACAAATTCTAATTCATTTTCTACATTTTTTGTACGGAAAAGGAATCAACAACAAATGTGAAATTAAAAAAAAATTGTTTGTCAGTTTGATCATTCGGAAAGAAAATTCACCAATATATTAATTTGGAATCTTGATTGAATGCAAACATTGTTTGATATGCCTTAAAAGATTAGAAAATCAATGAGTTAGTAGAAATTCCGACTAACTCACTGAGGGTATATAGTGGAATCTATTGGTTTCAAATCTCAATCTAATTAAAACTATGAATCGTATTTAAGATCTTATTCGTAATATTTGAATATGCAACCTAAGTTCACTGAGTTTGAAGTAGGTGAGAATAATTTTAATGATCAGCGACAAGAGAGTAAATCGCAACACTACGGAACATTGTGGAACAATCGACTCAATGGAATTCATCAGTCTACATCAACTTCACTGACTACGAGAAAGCGTTTGATAGCGTGTACAGGACAACACTATGGAGGCATCTTCGACACAACAGAGTGCCTGAGAAGATAGTCAATATCATACGGAATTCTTATGATGAATTAATCTGAGAAATCGTACACGGAGGACGGCTCACAGACTCGTTTGAAGTAGAAACCGGTGTCAAGCAAGGTTCCTTACTCTTACCTTTTCTGATGATCGAATGGATTATGAAGACGTCAACATCTGGGGAGAAGCACGGGATACAATGGACAACTAGGATGCAGTTGGACGATCTAAACTTCACAGATGATATGGCTCTTCTATCGCACACGCAAAAACAAGTGCAGAAGAAGACGACCAATGTAGCAGCAGCTTCAACAGCAGTAGGTCTCAACAAACACAAAGGGAAAATAAAGATTCTCCGATACAACACAGCGTGCAACAATCAAATCAAAATTGACGGAGAAGCTTTGGAGGATGTAAAAACCTTTGCATACCTGGGCAGCAACATTGATGAGCACGGTTGCTCTGATGCAGATGTGAAGGCGCGAATAGGCAAAGCAAGAGCAGCATATCTACAAGTGATGAACATCCGGAACTCAAAACAACTGCCAACCAACACCAAGGTCAGGATTTTCAATACAAATGTCAAGACAGTTCTACTGTATGGGGCGGAAACCTGGAGAACTACGAAAGCAATCATCCAGAAAATACAGGTGTTTATTGACAGTTGCCTACGCAAAATACTTCAGATTCGTTGGCAAGACACTATTAGTAACAAACCAATGTAGGAGAGAACAAACCAAGTTTCAGTGCGCCCCCAAATGCCCTGGTATGGCCGAAAAAGGAGAGAGACCGCTCTCCTTCTCAAAATGCTCTCACATGACCACGCGTATATAGCCTCTGCCAAGGAAGTCCTACTCATTTCCTTCTCATGTTGGGGTGTTGTTTACGAAATTGAGAGGACGAAAAGCGAATGTAAGGTGATTTAACCGGGTTGGTGGATATGGAGGATCCACCTAGCGGAGTTGGAAAACCCTGACTCCAAACCAATGGTGCACATGGGTCCCAGAATCTCAAGGTAAAAAATGGCGTTTGAACCGATTGTTGGTCACCGGCTACCATGAGACTGCATCTCCTAACGATGCTCCACTGCCTTGTGGATTAGACCTTCAGGTCGAAGGCTCCAGATGTAGCCTCCTAAGAGAACTACCTGTCCGGTTAAGGCACCCGAGCCGTATCACGGCCCTCACACATATCAAATGAGATCTTTGTCTCTCATATGTATTTGGTGCCTCCTTGTACCAATATCTATGGCAAGACACCATTAGCAACAGCCTACTGTGGGAGAGAACAAACCGAATTCCAGTGGAGGAAGAAGCACTGGAAGTGGATAGGATACACATTGAGGAAAGCACCCAACTGCATCACAAGACAAGCCCTCACTCACAATCCACATGGCCAATGGAGGAGAGGAAGACCAAAGAACACATTACACCGAGAAATGGAGAGAGATATGAAAAGAATGAACAACAATTGGATAGAAGTAGAAAGGAAGGCCCAGGACAGAGTGGGTTTGAGAATTCTGGTCAGTGGCCTATGCTCCACTGCGAATAACAGGCGTAAGACAAGAGACGAAAAATGAGTAAAATACATGATAATAGACATTTTATCTTATTATGATCAGAGATGGTGGATTAGTGAAATTAACCATCTTAGACGTACCAGTGAAAAAGTTTCAGTAATTTCAAAGTAAATGATAATCACTAAATTTATTTGACATAGAAGGTAATAACTTAATTAACTGGAGTACAAATAATATATGAAATTGATTTTGTTTTCTAGTCGTGTGCAACATGTATTGAAGTCTTAAGAAGAATTATAGATGCTTCATTGAACAATATGATAAACGAGTTTACACAGTAAGTTAATGAATTATTATTGTTATATACATATTCATTTCAACTTATACAAATCTGACTGTTAACCTAACTGTAAATAAGTCATATACAATCTGATATATTCTTAAATCATTCTGCGAGCGAAATAAATCCTTATCACCAGTCTTTACCCCTTTCCTCTTATGTTCAAGTTTCTGTATAGATTTAGCATGTGGTTATTAGAAGCAGCTAGGAAATCGAATCGAGCGTTCATTTAGAAGACATCATTATTGATAATACTACTTTTTAATTATTTTAAACCGATATTATTCGAAAATATATCCACTTATTGATATTTTTCAATGATAAATTATACCTACAGAAATTTTAGACCACCATCGGTAATGTTTATAATTACAACATATCAATAAAAAATGAAACATTGTTCATACAGGCAACTAGATCCATTTATCACCATAAAATAAACCAAGAATAACAAGGTCTGGAAAATAAAATCAATTTATTCTATTCTGAAATGTGTCTTTTAAACAGTGGACGGCTACCCTTTTACGAATTGGATCTAATAATTTAGCTAACCATCAAGCCAACTTATGGTGAATTTGCCACATATATTTCATGCTATTAGTTCCCTTTACGAACTTAAGTAAAGCCAGAACGAACATGGATGCAGAATAATATGAATTCATTATATTTCGTGGTTTCTCATCAGCTGCTTACTACCAAATATGTATTAGAATTTTACATTGAGGTGAGATATAGTGTAGAACAATTGGCATAAGTGAATGTAAAGAATTGGAATGACAAAGTTTATCAGTAATAACTATATATATATACAGAACAGGTCAGGTTATTTGGTGTTAGAATCAGAAAAAATTAGGGATGGTTGACGTAATAATTGAGTGAAGTTCAGAGACAGATAAGATAAATTGTGTGACAAATTTTAGAGGTAATGAATGGTTTACATAAGATTCATGGAATCAAAAAACTGGCAAGATGTGTTACGTAATAATTGAACAGGATTTGAAGAGTTTACATAATTTAAGAGAATCGAGTGAGTGGAAACGTATGAGTGGAGGGATGGTTTAAGAGTTCGGTAATGAAAGAGAAATATAAAAAACTAAACACTAACAATAAAACTAATGACTAAAAATTGAATTACCAGGGTAGTAATAGGTTTATTACTCTCTTTCTGAATAAATAGATCAGGTTTGAGTTTTTTATCGCGATTGCTTCGGCAAAACGGAGAAAAGCAGTACTTTTTTGTCTGCTAATAATTTTAAAAGCTTGAGGAATGTCAATGGTATGCCCTGTGTCAAGTAAATGCCAAGCTATTGCACTGTTAAGAGCCCTTGTCCCTCGTAGTCTCAATTTCTTTGGAACATCGGAAATGAGAACATATACTCTTCTCTCGGTTCTTCCAATGTATGTGCTTTGCCACGTACATGCAAATCAGTAAATGCAGTTGGAGCTACCGAGAAAAGAGGACCTGTCGATTTTAGTTTGTTTGAGAGAGTAGTTCGTCTCCCATAGTGTCGTCAGTTTTTCCGCTGAGTAAGTCACCTTCAACGCGGAATTTATCCTGTGATTAATTATTTCAGTGATTTCATCTCATTTGAAGCGTAAATATAAGAAGCAGTTTTTTTCTTCCACTCTATCGTACATAACCCGAGGATTGGCTTTGGCATAGTTCTGGATGAACTTCGCTGAATATGCATTTTCACGTAGGCAATTTGTAATGAGAGCAACTTCATCTTCCAGGTATTCCTTTGAGCTCCTTTGAAACATAGAGACACTTATTCAACATGTCGGAAAATTATTTCAGAACATACTTTCGAAGATCTTAGGTTAAGGCATTAGAACCAAAGTTATAATACTATAAAGTTTATTTTCAAAAACTTGTAAAGATAGCTTTATGAAAGGCAAATATCTAAGTGTTGATTAATCTGAGAGAGTAAAACAGTACAAGAGCAGTTAGGGCATGATACTTCTGATAAATCAATTGTTTCAATTGCATTTGGTCTCGATTCAATCAGTGTCACGTCTTGACATAACGAGTGACCGTTTCCGAGGATATGACCTTTATCATCGCTAGGCCAAACATGGACTGATGAATAACTGCTTTCACCATTGTTCGGATAACTAGAAATTTTGTAAAAGTATTTTCTTTTTCATCATTAATGGTGACAAAGTTTCGAATATCACCACTCCTAATTTGTTTTTCTGAAAAAAAGTGAGGAAAATCCTGACTTGTTGTGCAAGTCGAAGCAAATTGCAGTTACATAATTACTCAACAAATAACTTACAGTTGTTGAGATTTCATTTTGCACTAAACGACTTTGAGATTACAACATACTTAGCCGACCAAGGGACAGCAAATTTAAGTGAATGAGTTACTGTGTTATAATTGAGATTTGGGATATGGAATTTGGAATTCTGGCATTTTAGTTGTCAATACGTGATGAAAACTCAAACACTAACTCCTCATACTGAATCCTAACAATAGTTCCTAATTCTACTTTGATAAATGTGATATGAATTTGAAGCGCTTTTCACTTTCACCATTAGCTCAAGGATATATTCCGACTTTATTATGACTATTTTTAACCATATACATAATTCATAATTTTTCATAAAGAAATATATACTCCTCTTTCGAACACATGACTGCATCATTGTTTACTCAATCCGTAAACGTTTGGAAATAAGATATTTCCCTGAAATGTGATGAATGTCCGTAAGTACAGTAGATCTGTTAAATTTGTAACACGAGAAAACGAATTAAACCTACAAAAACAGGTCGGTTTCTCAAAGATAGAGTGGTATATATGTAAATGAGTATTCAGTAGTCCAATGCACATTGTCGCTCATTATTGTGTTTTCGATCGAGTAGTCAGTTGGGAGGGTCAGCACATAGCACACCGTGTATCAGTATCAGATTTCAGACACCGCACGTCACAATAGATTCAACTATAATCCTCCGTATTATTAAGACATTTGTTGCGAAAATAACAAAACTGATATAGCCTAATCTTAAGAAAATGGATATCACAAAATACATTCATTGGATTTGTTGGAATCAATCAACAATTTGAAGGTTCACTTGAGGATAAACAAATAGACTAACTAATGAGAAACAGTTTGTACTACAATTTATGGCTAGATCTCTTTGCCGTTATTATTTAAGGATTAATTTATATATTTAATTCACTATCATGGTGGTCAAACATTAGGTTAGGTAGTTCAGTTATCCTCTAGCATAATACTGTGAAGAACGATACATACTTTTTTATTTTAAGAGTCCTGAGACGGTCTGACAACAAACAAAACAGTATTTCCATGTTTATACGGTACTTCGTAGACAAGCACAGGTCCCTCCACTCAAATTTCAGTCGGATTTTTGTGTGAAGTTTATTTATACCACCCAGCTACAAAAACCTAAATAAACAAACCAAAGATAAAATGTAAAACTCATCAACTGAAAGAAGGGTCCTCTGACTATTAGCCCACAGTTTCTCATTTTTGGTTGGTTATTTGTTAAATATAGCAAACGCATAATGTATTAGTAGAATACTTTTTGTATAAATTACGGTTCTATTTGCCCACGGCATAATACAGCCAGCTGTTTGGAATTTGATGATTATTTGTGGAGACCTCTCGTCCAACTAATCACCAGGAAACAGAGAGTAGTTAAAAGCTTGACAGCCAACTGCCCTGTTACAATATAGTAAACAAACACAAAAAACTCATAGAATACAATGGAACTTAAAATTACTTGATGTAGATTGGTCTTTCGAACTGGATTCAAATGAAGTTTTTTCGTCTAGATGGAACTTTCTTCACTGGTTCCTTGATTTTTACAAATTTACCTAATTGCAACAAAACAGTATCAATAACAAAAATGCAGAACACTAGGATATTTTTCTAATTTGAGTGGTTTATTAAAAGATATACTAATTAAAATCAATCAATAAATATAAATTTTTAACACACTATTAAAAAAATTTATTCATGCAAGGGATCCTTCTCAAGGAACTTATTTTCAGAGCTAAACAGTCGTATACACAAATGGTAAATAATAGGTCAACGATTAATTATGTTTACTAAAATTTGACTGGTTGATAAATGAAGTTTGACCACATAGTTTTTGAGAAGCAAACGGATATTTAGTAGGGAATTTACGAAACACAAGATAAATAATCAATAGGGTTAAAATATTGCTGTAAGTATAATGATGTAGTAATGGGAATTTGTTAATGAAAATCAACAAATCTAGGCAGAAACAACCGTCCTAATAATAATAATAATAATAATAATAATAATAATTATTATTATTATTATTATTATAAAAAAGAACAAATCAAAGTCTTTTTTTAAACTCGCCTTATCATGAGAGAGAGAAATACAGAAAAAGTTGATCACGATCCACATTTTAATGGAAAACTATTCATCAACTTGAAGATTTCGAAGATAATCGTTGTCGAATAAAACTTACCAAATCACGAGGAAAATCTTATCAGTCAGTCATAATCAGTGTAGAGCATAACATATATGTAGACTATATCAAGTTTTCATACTGTGTCAGCAGGAGATCATCAACCATAGGTTTTACGTTGAAATAATGGTTAGACTTGCTAATCGTGGTGACACAATCGAGCTAGACAGGATGGAACACTCATTTCTTCAGGTACTACTATGTTAGGTTCAAGGACGAAGTCACACTTCTGATTGTACAGGTGTGACAGCAGTAAAGTGTTCCCCTCAAACACCCGACATATATAGAATAATGCTGGCTTCTCATGGAGGAAGAGGTTGACTCTGACAACGGTACAACTTACATTGGCTCCATGGATTCCAGTTATTTGTGGCAAGGTTTGAAGATTACAAATCTAATACATTAAAAACCATCCATGAAAAGGCTGTATGTGACAGGTTTTCAACAAATATTCCTTGAGCTCTGGGGTGACGCTCCCGGACCGTCGGAACTACACTTGACCCGACTTTCTTTCAAAGCCTCTCAAGAAGAACTACTCTTTTATGTTGTGAGTAACCGAGAAGTGAAGAGAGCCTTCATAACATCCCAAATCATCTTGAAATTTTCTCTATTTTGTTTTAATGAAAATTCATTGCAATATTGCAACATTATTTACTGGTTATTTTACTGGCAAAAAACAGTGACATCGGTTAATTCACGTCAAGATAAATACTATTCTATTATGACCCAACATCAACCATACACAGTTTTGCATAATAGATCATGGGCTGAATCTGCCACAGGCAAAAACTGAAACTTGTTACTAGGATCAGGAAAGGTAAGGTATGTTATGGAAATAAAAATTACATTGAAGGTTATTTTTACAAACGTTATAAACTGGTAAGACATTTTGTAACGTCCTGCCAGATGTTATGTAACGACCTCATAAAGTGGCCGTTACGAACATCGGTTTGTGAATGTTCTACTTGTTAAGCAGTAGGGAGTATTATTCGAGGGGAACTAGGGAGAAAATGACCAGGTTGTGTTGAAAAATACTACTTTTTGTTTATAGCTGCTGTAGAAGTGGAAGATGACTAAAGGGTAAGGAAAACATTACTAAAAGGTAATGCTGAGTCTTGCGGTGACACTAGCTAAAACAATAGAGGTGAGTGAATATTTTTTACAACACTATATATCTACCTGAAAATATCAGCAGATTAAAAACCAATGAGTCCTGGTATTCACTCCCGTTTAGAAAGTTAACGATAATCTAAACCAATGAGTTACAACCAAGCTGTATTACTGCTACTTCAAGGCAACAAACGAATTTTTAAGATGTAGTATGCATGAAAAACCTCCGTCAAAACGTGAAATACCAAAGATGTAAACACTAAAGCTTGTATTTTGGAATGTAAAGCAATGTCATGAACAGATAATTATAAAGAAAGACCAAATTATACTCCCAGCATTCGCAACACAGCACATAACCATGAGCTTACCTATACACGTAGCTTGATGCTGACCCCACCAAGTATCCCTAGGGCCAGGTACTCTATTCATAGAACGTTTAACATAGCCGAAGTATGGTGGACGGTTGCGACATGGACCGGTACAACGCCACCAGTGAGTGCGATATGTATCAACTTCATCATGAAATGAATGGTAAACCTAGACATATAACACAACCAAATGTAATCAAACATGTAGACCCCAATAAAGATACTAGCAGACAAAAGTTATAATCTCAAGTTACAAAGTCATCGATCACCAATATGTTGTCTATGGAAAAGCAAACTATCCAAATAAGTATTAGATGCTATGATGGCCTGTAATTGAATTCGCTTAACTATAAATCACTCAGCTTTTATCACCACTTGAAGACAATCATGCAGTGTTCTTTTCTCAACACTAGGTTTTTTGCATTTGCTATTCAAACTTCAAATCCTTTCGATACATTACCGAAACACCCGAGTTTGCATCTTTAAACGTTGAAGCTACTCGTTAGATCACTTAACTTTTAGTCATTCGGTTGCATGTATGTACCTGACATCAACGACTATGATTTAGAAGGATAAGTAGTAACTTTGGGTCAAACAGAGTCACGAAGCTGAGCTCACGAACCGATATACGGTTACTTAATGAAACTACTGTTCGATATTTTAACTTCTATTATGTATGTCTACCGGACTTGGGGCTGCACCTGATATACGAGTTAATTGGATGTTGTTCTGTTCACCTTGAAGTGCATTATGTGAATTTGTGATGGTTATTAAGTCTAGTACAGCAAATAATAAACACCAGTGACCAGATAGTACTATTAACACACCAGCAACTAAATTAATACAAGAAAAATAAGCTAGTCTAGGTAAAGACAGCTGGTCGGTCGTACAACTCACACTTAAAATAAACTCGCATTTATTGACTTCTTATGAAAACCGGGGTATATACTTTTCTGACTTGCCAAAGCTAGTTTAACTAGTAAATAAGACCGACTGCACAACACTTAACTACACATTGGAAAAGAAGCCAACGATCTTTGTGTAAGGTAACTAACATTCAAACGAAAACCACTGGTCATAGAAACTGTATTCTCCCATTAATAATTGTACGAGGTCAATGTAAAGAGAAACTTTCAGAACGAACTAATATTATGAAGGCCAACTGAGTACAATAATTCAGCAAAACATTAGTTGAGTAGCAAGCCCAGATCAGAAGGCTAGGCTCGAAACCATTTAGTAATGGTATGTGTGTAATACATTATACAGCCCATTAAGAGGCAATTTAGAAATATGAAGGCAAGTGTTCAAGTAACTTTAGGATGTAAAACGACTTTTCATATTTTCATATGAATTAGTGACCAAATCGGGAACCTGGCTTACCTGGTCATCCTAAAGCTCGGTGAACAGAGAACCCTCACTAAAGTTAAAATATATTAATTGACTAAATATCACTACTCAAATTTATCAAAGGTTTTAAGCAACGGCAGTGTGGACCAGGTAAGAAAAGTTATGCTACAAACAAGCGAATGATTCTAAGATACCTTCCTAGAATAAAAAAAGAAGTTGACACACTGATATATTTTTGTGACCGAAATAAAATTAACCATTAAGCTGATAACGATATGTACAGGAGAATAAATGACACGCTGGGATATTAAAACATTGGTATTACAGTAATATTTACTCCAGCCAACGAGTTGATGCGATGCATGTGCGATAGGAAATTTGGCCCATGGTCATCACGATCCTAAAGATTTGGATTAGGAGTGAGATAACAAACTTTGTCCTTCCTTGTTATGAACAAAAATGCATGAATCATTTCATGCTAAAAAAAAGTAATTACAATAGTTAGATCATACCAACAGAGTCTCCACGAGATCTTTTCGCGGTCTAAATTTTAGTAGGGGTTCACTTAGGCTGATGGAACACATTCCATAAGGTTTGTGAAATTTGCAAACTCCTGCACAAAGAGTCATCCGGGAGCTCCATTTGACTTCTACACATCCGAGAGAACTTCCGAAGAACTGACTGTCGAATGAAGAAAACAACAATCTGATATCTGGTAGTGGGTCCAATAATTCCCAAACAGGATCAGCAAGGCAACACAAAGATAAAAAATTTTTCTTATTCTCAGCCTGTCCCATAAGTATGATTATGGTGAATAAAGCGTACCGTTTTTTCGACTAGGTTGTTTTGGTGACCCACAAAACTAGCAACGTTAGTTTTTCTAGGTGAAGATTCATCATCAGACCACATAAATATCTCCCAAGTCTCGAAAACTGGTTAGTTCCACCAACAACCTTGAGAACAAGTGTCCCACATTCGATGCCCTTCAGCGGTATAGAGAGCATTTCGAATTGTTGTTCAGTTGGTCCTTATTGGCAAGGCTTTTTCCTACAGGATAGATTTGCTAGCCAATTTACAATCCTCCCTCTCTATCCGCTGATAACCCTGAATTGAACTACAGGAGGAGTGATGATGCTCTTAAAAAGGTGAGCAATTGAATGAACAAAGTGTAACCATTTGAAACACGAAAATGAAAGTTTCTGAAGTCAACCGAGGCGAATTAGCTCACTTTCTAAGAGTAACTTCTAGTCAATAATCTTCATACAAGTTTCAGAACAAAGGTGTAGCAAATGAAGATAGGATCTAACTGTATTCAAAGTACTTTGGAGATGGTTAACATGGACTTGTTTTTTCAGCGATTATTTTTTGTCATTAGTTGTGTTTTTCGCAACTTGTACAGTTAATATTATTTCTATTAAAGCTCTTGTCCAGATTTGACCTTGATCTTCCATTACTTTTCTGTTCTCTGCTCATATATCACTGGTTTTCGCTCATAAATACATTGATGCACACACACTTCTCGTTTTAACTTAACAGCTTCCACAATTAAATACTTCAAATACGTTTGCTACCTACGTTTACACATCGCACTGATATTCTTACTATGTGATCATTCCGGATACACATAGTATTGAATTATATCTATCATATTTGAAATTAATAACAACTGTTTATGGTTGTGGATATAAGGCCAAAACTTGAACACGCTCCTCACTGACAGGTTAAGTAGCGTCCCCTATTTTCCATCATTATTCTGGTATTGATATATCTGGTGCGCCACAGTAACAAAAATACCTATTTGTCATTTTTAAGTCTAGCTAGTCTTTTCACTCTTGAAATCAGGAGTTAATCTACTCTGGGCCATCATTGAAAACACTAGTTTCCCGTTTCATTCAAGTACAAACCCTTCATCAAAGCCTACCAACAATCCGTAAACGGTACACGAACCCAAGATCTTCAGTCTCGCATGCGAACGCTTAATCTCTGAGCCTAGAGCCAATGGTGTTAATGTCTGACTCCGATCAATCCATGATTTGACGAAACCGTTCATCCTTGTTCTCCAATAGATAACTGTTTCACATCCAATAAATATTTGTCTCCACTTGATATGTCTATAGCTGTTGACGAAATTTGATTGTCTTGTCACGACAAGCTAACCGTATCCTCATACAGTTCACATAAATACATATTATTCAACACGTTATGGAGGCCAGGTTTCCCCTCAAATTGATACAACCAACAACATTCTGTTCGGCAGAATAGGATAATAACAACGGCAAAGCTTGTCTTTATTCTAAAGAATATGAATGGCAAAGTACTTGCCTACTGAGTGGGGTCTGAGTGAGATATTAGGGTAGTTTTTAACCGGGGATGAAAATGCTCCACTAACCATAACCCAAGAATTATGACGTTTTTGACACACCTGGCGGTTCTCGGTCAACCATTAACAACCAATAATAAGCCATTACATCAGCTTTCTCCTAGAATCGACTACCATTCAATTACTATTCAAAAAGTTTGAAGATTTCACATACTTGACAAGTTTCTTATCTTATCTCTGTATCATCTGTATTTTTCCATAATTTATCGGACATAACTTTTTGTACGTCTCCTCTTTCTGAGATAAGATAGGAAGGAAACAAATGTGATGAGGGTATCTAAAGAAGTGCAGCATGTAGGTTACCCAACACCATGCTGATGGATATGATTGTTTCATGACCTGTTCGGCTATCAGGTGTTTACTTATCTGATTCTTGAGGAATTCTGAAGTTGAAAAGAAAGATAAATCTTTTTATATGAATATACAAACAAATTCAGTTAAACCTCAGAAGTTGCTTGATTATCTAAGAATAGTTTTTCAATAACCACTTCAAGAAGAAACCTTGTATTCACTCTAATATTTCTGCTGTCCTGTCAATGATGAACTTAAAAGAGATCCAGAAATATACTAGATATAATCAAAATGAACATATAACCAGCATTTTCAACGAAAATACATTAACATGCCTGGAATTCACGCTGAGGATTGTGGGAGATTCAATAAGATCATTAGAACCTCTCTGGAAAGGTTATGATGGGATACCGGCTAACTCAACTGAATATGAGGGTTCTGAAGATGCCACAGTTGTAAGATCCGTTTTGAATGTTTTGTGTGTGTATATATATGTGAAAGTCCCTCCATGTATACACTTGTACTTTGCTCCTATTGATCTCCTTAGTCGTACATTGTTAGTTTTTTTATTACGTTTGAGTTGTTAATATTTGTATTTTTTATTATAGTTTTTGTTTTTCTTACGCCTTCACTAAGTTTTTGTGTTTCTTCCCGAACTGCATCTATGTTGTTTTACTTGATACATGCTCTTGGCGGCAGCAATATTGATTTCCTCCTAATTTTGAGCGTGTTCCATCCATCCAGGATAGAACAGTGTTCATTTATTGTGGCTGGTAATTTTTCCCGCATCTTTTAACAACTTTATTTATGGTAATTTAGATTTGATTGATTGAACAATTAGTGGTTGAATTGCCAGGTGGTAATATTTGTTTAGGAAACGATGTACATTAAAATTTGTAATGAATTATAGAACTGTCATTTACCCGATTACTTCTTTTGATATTAACGGGCAAGGGCGCGTCTTTAACCGACCTCGACAGCTATTCTTCAGTCCAAACCGTAGTTTGGATTCTACACAGTTATTCAGAGTTTGACAACGCTTTAACCAGTAACATCTTTTAATATGAAGTGTACCCACCAAGTGAAATCAAAAGACAGTGGTGAGAAGGTTCGGAGATATATTTGACATGTAATCGATATACTGAGACTCGTCTGATCTAATCTGGCTAGCGATTGCGGTAGATGTTGAGCACGGTGCTCCCACTCGTGATCTGGTGCGGATGCATGACCGAGCGCCTTCAGCTAGGTGAGTCCATTAGAACATGTGGTCAGCATCCAATGTCGAAAACTTGCAGAGCTATTTATTTTGGGGATTTATTTACTGCTACAGATTACTCCCCCCTAGTGGGGTAGTGATGACCCTAAGACGTGGCCAGCCAGAAGTTTAAACCCAACGAGTTTGTCGTCGGTAAACGCTCTCCTGATAGCTTGCTAGGTTTAGCAGCATCTGGTTGTCTTTCCTTACTATAAGGGACCATGAAATACAATATAGTAAGAAAATAATGTATAATCAAAATTTCGGTTCCTCGTAAGCCTCATCGTTCTTTTAATGGTCTTTTCCAGCCGTTGTGGAAAAGAAAAATAGAATATACAAGTGCATGTCGACATAAACTCGTATGCGCTTTAAGACACAAAGTGAGAGAAAAAACGAGAATTTCGTAAAAGCGATTTTTTCAAAATGTTTGTTTTTATTTTTTTAAAATTTTTAAAATACATATTAGCATAACAATAATTATATATAAATATAAGCATATTAAAAACTTCTTAATATTATATATAATGCCATGGAAAACCGAGATGAAACAGTGTTGACTGCTGTCTTACGTGCAATAGTCATTTGAATATTCTGGAAATCTTACTATTCTTCCAGAACGCGTTAATGTAAGTTTATTTTCAGATACTGTCGAAGTATCATCGTGCGTGTTGGCTGTTGGACGAGGTATTATAAATGTTGGGGTCATGTCATCCGATTGTACCGAAGGAAAATCGACGTGGATAGGATTTCCTTCTAAATACGCTGCTTTGAAGCGATCGATGCTGATGCTATCGTTTGTTCCGTTCTTATCGACTATATAGTACTTAGATTCACGTTGAAGAACTTTGAAGGGTCCTTCGTATGCTGATTCGAATGGTCGTCGATGCGAGTCTCGACGAACGAAAACGTGTGTACTATATCGTAAGTCAGGTTGAACGAAAACATCAGTTGATTGAGGTCGAGTGGAAGCAGGTTTAACTGAACGCATTGCGTTTGTAAGCCTGTTCGTGTAGGAGGTTAGATCCATGTTCATCGAAGAAGACGAAGGATCCACGAATTCTCCTGGAAGTCGAAGTGTCGTTCCATAAACGAGTTGAGCCGCAGTGTATCCAATGTCAGCTTTCACTGCATTGCGGATACCTAGTAAGACGAGTGGAAGAGCGTCGGTCCATTGTGAAACGTTTGCAGCTGATAGCGAAGCTTTCAGTTGTCGGTGAAAACGTTCTACCAACCCGTTTGCTTGTGGATGGTAGGCGGTCGTTCGGAAGCGAGTGATTCCTAAAAGTGTGGTCAGACGACGGAAAAGATCAGATTCAAACTGACGTCCGCGGTCTGTAGTGATGGTTGAAGGGCAACCGAAGTTTGCTACCCATCGTTCGACGAAGGTGCGGGCCACTGTTTCAGCAGTGATGTCCTTGATAGGTACTGCTTCTGGCCATCGAGTGAAACGGTCTACGCAGGTTAAGAGATAAGAGTATCCATTTGAATCTGGTAAAGGTCCTACCAAATCCAGATGAACATGGTCGAAACGAGCATCGGGAGTTTTAAACGAGCCTAAGGGACATTTATTGTGTCTGATAACCTTAGATTTTTGGCAGCTTACACAGGAGCGTGCCCACTCCCTCACGTCTTTATTCATGCCAGGCCAGCAAAACCGTTCTGCTATAAGCTTGATGGTTGCACGAACACCTGGATGAGAAAGTTTGTGCAACGTATTGAAGACGTTGCGTCGATAATGTTTCGGCACGATTGGGCGATCCCTAGCTTTAGATGTGTCACATAGTAAGGTTTCCTTACCTGTTCCCATCTGTTTAATGCATAGTTTAAGTGTTATAGACGACAATTCGTGCTGAAGATCAGTGTCTTTTCTTAAGCTAGGCGAGTTTAAGAAGGTCGATTTCTTGGAAACTGTTCAAGGATGTTATACGAGACAAGGCATCTGCAACTACATTGTTTGCTCCAGAAATGTGTTGAATATCTGAA